AACGAGAAAATAATAAATTTTAGATGTGTGTGGACAAATACACAATAAGATTTTCTGACTTCACCATGTGAAACGTAATAAATTAATATCATAAGTAACTTATAATGTAAATTAGAACGTAACTAACATTATGTATTATAAACATACTTGTATTTAAAAAAATAGAAACAGAAAAAAAGACACAGTCTTGAAAAAAAATTGTCCAAAGATATTTTTCAAGACTTTAAAATATTAGCGTGAACTGGCTGTTCTTTTTAAGCTGTGTCAATCCTGGATACTTGTTATGCTGAGCGCCCGAAATCGATTCAATTAACCTGTAGCCTTCATTGAGGTCGGACAAAAGTATCGCTTTGTCAGTCCCAAGGAACAGTCGAAAGCACATCAAAGTATACATTTTTGGTGCAAAATCGTCCCTATTACAAAGACAAGAGCCTACAGTGGGTAGCTTGATCTGCTGTCGTTTGGACGTGACTATTACGTAGGAATCAAATCATTTATCTGTAGTCGAAGGGATTAGTAGTGGTTTATAGATAATAATAACGGGTAAATCTTCAAAACTAATACGATGTAACAACTATGTTTGTCTTTCTCACTCTTGTCTACAACATGATCAGGAAAGAAGTTAGGGATAGAGCTTAAAATTAATCAGATTTTTTTTAATCCACAACGAGGAAGCTCTTGGCCTGTTGTATCTCACCTGATGGTACTTTCTTGACAATAAAAGCTGAGTGCCTTTTATTTTTAAAAACAAACCTCAGTTTAAGATACCTACTTTAATTTGAATATTTTTTTAAAGAATGTAATTTCTTTAAGTAAACATCCAAAAATCTAAAATTTTACAAAAATGAGTTGAGCGACTCAGCGTAGTTTAACACCATGTATTTTACCGGAAAACTAAAGACACTCTTTCTCACACACATACTCTCGAAAAGAACGAAATATATCACATAGCAACACTGAGTTACATCGAAATTATACTTCTTATATGTTCTCAGTTCGATGGCTTTTCCAAAGTTAGATCACAATTCATTGCACGCCAGTGACTTTGATTAGGTATGGGATTGTGTGTTCAAGTGTTTAGTTTAGGTACGCAAAGGCCTGCAGATAAACTTTTCCACAAATACACTTCTTATTTACATTATTGTATGGAAATCCAAAGTTATTTCAAGAGAGCTATCTAAGGCTGGGTTGCACCATCTTACTTTAACTTTGACAAATGTCAAAAATCCGTCAAATTCCATACAAAAATCACCGGTTATGAATATAGTTACGGTCAAAGTTAGGTGGTGTAACTCAGCCTAAGACTTTAAAAGACAGACAAGTTTTTAAGAACTAGAAAAAATTGAAAAACTTCGCATCCTTGTAATTTGACAGACCAGAAAGATAATACTTATGGCAAATGTTGGTTGAACTTTTTAAAGCTTCGTGCGATTTGCATAACCAGTGTCAGGATTTAGGCCCGTATAGGTACACAAACATTACTATGAGGTCTCAGTCCGCGTGGACGCACAGGGTAACACACGAACCAATCACAGCGCTCTATTCAACGCTGTGCGTCCGATTTGATGCCTCACTTAAGCAAGCATTGTTTGTGAATACGGGCGTAAGAACTCCAGTGCTTTATTTCTAGTATTTCAATGCCCCTTCCAGTCAGTTTTATTCCTCGCACGACCCGAGGACCTGTTTAGATATGGTAACATAATCACCCTCCATTAGAGAAACAGCTCGAGAACGCCGTGGTTTGGTGGTTTGATTCAGTCTTAGTCAGAGATATTGGGTTCGATTTCCAGCAGGATTACGTGGAAGTGCTTGAGGGTAGTCAAATCTCGGATGCAAAATATGATTTTTTGTTATGAGCCACTTTATTCTAAAATACAACAAGGATTGGTAATACATATAATTGTATCACATTTGATGGACAATAATTAATTGTACTATCTTCATCAGTGTACAAAACTAAGCAATACGCTACTTCACAACAGTTAATTACAGCAATTTAGCCTTAAGATTCATTTGCTTAAAAACAATAAAAGAATAAATTTTTAAACAACTTAAATGTGTATTTTTTTTTTTACAAAAACTATTATTTTTGCCTCATTCCGTATTTAAGAGTTAAGTAAAAAACGTATGCTCCAATCATAGCATAGCTACTTATGCATAATATGCATGTCATATCAATATACTCGTAAATCTGTGAATGGAAAGGTAAAAGACAATTTCAAACTCGATTTTCTACTGTAGTAATATTTATTCGAGTCGTGTTTCAAATGTAACATAAATCTAGGTATCTGAGCTTTTCAATTACACGCTATGTAAGTCCACGTACTGTGATTCTAATCCTAAAATAAGAATGAAAACCCTGTCCTTTAGTCGTCCCTCCCTGTCCTTTGATGCGTTCAGTACACTCCTTTTGTGCGAGACCTGTTTAGGTTTGGTAACATAATCACCGCCATTAGGACCGGCCCGCCCACGGATAGCATCTGAACCAAACTTATTATGCTAGGCCTGACATATTTGCATTAACGTACACAAGGAACCCTTCCAAAAAAGAGTGAATTCTCATACCAATGTCGCACAATAAAAGTACAGTTCGCCGAAGAAGAGATAGGTTGTCAGTAAATAAAAGAAAGAAAGAATGAAAGAAACATTTATTACGATGAACATCACTTAAGTTAAGGACAAAGAAGGTGTACGGAAAAACACAGAAATAGCACATAAATATTACAAGTAATGGGACTCCACTCAGCATATGCCGTGGCCCACGGTGCGTGGGGAAGGCCACGACGCACAAGCACTAAAACACACAAAGGGTTAAGTTGACACCATTTGTCTATTTTTAGGTATTACACGCTATGTATGTATCTACGTAATATGATTCCAGCTTGTAATAGTAATAAAAAGGCCTGTCGCTTGATGCCTTTGTACCTGTCCAGATTTGGTAACATAATCACCGCCATTAGGGACCAGCCCGCCCCCTTTTCTTTTTTTATTATTTTCTATTGACGTTCATAAGTGCCACCTTGTGGTCTAAACTGAATAAATATTTTTGATTTTGATTTTGATAACATGAACCGAACTTATTTTGCTAGGTCTGATTCACTTCAGACACATTTGCCTTAACATACACAAGGAACAATTCCTTGAAAAGAGTGAATCCGCTTACCAATGCCGCGGAATAAGTAAACAATTCGCCAAAGAAATAAATATGAAAATATACAAAGGGCTCAATTGTCAATGATATATTTTTCATAACCTGTTTTCTTCAGATTCTTTAGGCATCTTAGCATTAACATACGGAGTTCCTTGAAAAGAGTGAACCCTCTTACTAATGTCACGGAATAAATACAGTCAGGACATTAACCTAAACATTATGGCACCTAATTTGGTTGTAATAAAAGCGATTTTGCAACAAATTATGTATAAGTCTGATGTGCTATTGACTGCACAATTCGCAGAAGAACTTGACTGTCTGGAAACGAAATACACAAAAGATTCAATAGAAGCTGACATCACCAGTCAACTTTGCTTTAGTGCCTTTTATTTCATAATTACATATTTAAAATTTTAAAAATGTAAACCAAAAAAAATATTGCTAAGGTTGATCTCAGCTAGACCTTTAAAATTAAATTCTTGGTTCTTTGAATCATTCAACATCAGACAAGCCTTTGTTTAATCATAAAATAAGACCTGCTAGCGCACAGAATGCACAGTGACATTTTAACATTGTTCCAATAGAAACACTCCTTTAAAACATCATTCGTTATAATTTCCAGTACGCTCCTATCAAAACGTCACAGTAAAGCAACATGTAATAACTTCTCTTGCTATTTTTCCGATTCAATTCACTATAACAACGCTTAACTTTGAAACAAAAGAGTTCTCATTTTCCGATCGTCTGTGAAAATCGTTGACAGATTTAATAATGGCTTGCTGTCTAGAGATATGACAATCTCACCGGCTTTTGTGAATGGACAGGCTTGCAAATAAATAGATGTTGCATTAATGATACTTAAATTGTCATTTTAATAGCCAGTGAGCCTTGGGGCAGACCACCGACTTGCCGATAGTTGGGTCGGGCTGTTAATCAGTATGGACATGTATGAAAGTGCGCACATTACACCGATTCGGTATCGGCCAATTCTTCATTACAAATTAGAATCGGGCCCGACTATCGGCCAACTAAAAGTCGGTGTCGGTGGTCTGCGTAAAGAGAAACAGTAAATAATATGACAGGTGTAATTTTAAATTTACGCATGTAATACGAGTATAAGAAAATGCTCGGGATATAAAAACAAAATACTGAGGTTACCAATAGCGATAGCCGGTGGATTTGAATTTATTAGAATATTTTATATACGGCAAAAAAAAAGTATGATTCCTTCACTTGACATGACCAATTGAATTGTGTCTAATTAATTAAAATATTTCAAATATTTCTGAATGCAGTTCTATTTCTTTCAAAAATAAAGGAATATTTTTGAGTAAAATTTTCTATTTACATTTAAGAGTACTTTCCCTCCAGGTGTCATTTCAATATTTTCACCCTGTATCATCTAATATCCATCGAAGCCGTCAACATTATCGTTATCACCAACTCTCGAAAGCGTCACATTCGAGTCAACACTATCCTTTGTTGAGTTAGGCCACAATGGCCGACCCTCGCTGTAAAACATTTGAATAGGTATCAAGAACAGCCACAACCCTTCTCTGGTGCCAATTGTTTTAGATGTTTGCCCACTAAAAGGTAATTAATGGGACCTATTATACTTACCCCGAGTTCATGTGTTAGAATTAATAACTAGAGTTGGTTAACCATTGTGACTGTTAATAAGTTTGGAAAGATCGGGATCTTATTTGAAGGGTTGAGACCTTTCTGTTATCAATTCTGAATTGTTTTATCTCGGACTTTACCACGCATTATTTTTCACTTTCACAAATTGAATACTTTGTTTATAGTCCAGNCTCCATATGAATGTAGGAGATTCATTATAAGATAAACTTCCAGTGTTTCTGGATGGATCTTTTTGGCCAAATGGAATAACTTATAGGCGTTTTGTTTACCTCAAAGGTAAAGATATTGAGAGTGGACCTCATTTCGAAAAGAAAGCCTTATCAGACTCCCCTACGGAAAGAACCAGACACAAGTAACAATATATTATAATTGTCTACATAGACTCTTCAGTGTAGGCATAAGTAGTTATTATGGAGAGGAACTTTACGCTTATGAGTTATAATTGCAAATCGGTGAAGACGGCCGTGGGAGATATTCGCCATTTATGTCAGAAGGCTGACATAATAGCCCTGCAGGAAACGTGGCTTCTTCCACATGACATACCTTTCCTCGATACAATCAGCAGTGATTTTGAGTACAGTGGGACATCTGCGGTGGACACGTCGGCGGGAATTCTTAAGGGAAGACCGTATGGTGGTGTGGCGATACTGTGGCGTAAAGGTATTTTTAAAACGGTGTCAGTGTTACAGTGCAGAAACCCCCGTATAACGGCAATAAAAGGTATGCTTTGTGATCGTTCGGTAATAGTTGTGAGTGTCTATATGCCGACCAACTCTTTAGAAAACTTGCCTGTGTTTACTGAGTGTCTAAGTGAAGTAATTGCCATAGTGGAGGGTAATGAAGTAGAATCAGTCTTTGTATTGGGAGATTTTAACGCACACCCAAATGAACTATTTTGTAATGAGTTGGTGAGTTTTTGCTCCGAGCAAAATTGGGTCTGTGCTGATATAGAAATATTGGGTGTTGGCTCTGATCATTACACTTTTGTTAGTGATGCTCATGGTTGCCGACGATGGTTAGATCATTGTATTGTAACTCAGTCCGCCTGGCGTACTATAAGAGGCGTGGAGATTGATACGAATGTCTATTCCTCGGATCATCTACCACTAATTATTACTTGCAATTTCAATATTATTAGAAATAAAACTTATGTAACCGGTGTTCAGAGAAATAATGTAATATGGGGTGGGAGAGACAATGCCCAAATCAAAAGATATCGTGAAATTTGTAATAGCCGACTTAGAAATATATGTTTTCCAGATGAATTTAGAATTTGTGGGGACAAACGCTGTAAAATTTTAGGTCATAAATATGTATTAGATAAGATGTATAATGATATCGTAGGTATATTGGCAGGCGCTTCTGAACAGACTTGCTCAGCTAGGACTTGCTGTCCTCGTGGGGGCCCGGGCAAAGACAAACGGGTGGCTGGGTGGAATAAACATGTACTAAGTGCGCACCGAGATGCCAAAATGAAGTATAGAATTTGGTTATTGCATAATAAGCCTCAGTCGGGTATTGTTTATCAACATATGCTCGAAACTCGAAAACGTTTCAAAAGCAAATTGAATTGGTGTTTGAAAAATCAGGAACAGATAAAAATGGACAGACTTGCGACATTACACGCAGCTAAGAATTTCCCTAAGTTCTGGACTAGTACAAATAAACTAAACATTAAACCTAGTCTTCCTGTGAGTGTTGGGGACCAAAGTGAGCCCAGAGCAATAGCTAATATGTTCATGGAACATTTTAAGGTTCAGTCACCTCTTGGGTCTTCGAGTACGGTGTTTGATGGTGGGGCTGAAGTAGACCAACTTCCAGTTAGGTTCACGGCCAAGCAGGTGGCGATGGTCATTAATAAAATGTCAAGAGGCAAATCGCCTGGTCACGACGGACTTAGTATCGAGCATTTCAAACTTGCCTAGAGTTTTGAGTATGTTCTTCTCACTGTGCCTAAGCCACTCGTATTTGCCAGGGGACCTAATGAGAACAGTAGTCGTCCCGATAGTTAAAAATAAAACTGGTGATATTTCTGACATAAATAACTACAGACCGATCTCTCTAGCTACAATCACGGCAAAGGTCCTTGACAGTGTGCTTGACTCTCTACTAGATAAATATTTAAAATCACATGATGCTCAATTCGGGTTTAAGCCTGGACTGTCGACCGAGAGCGCCATCCTTAGTCTTAAGCACACTGTCAGGTACTACACGGATCGGGGGACTCCCATTTACGCATGCTTCCTCGATCTCTCCAAGGCGTTCGATCTTGTGTCTTATGACATCCTTTGGGATAAGATGAGGAGGCAGGGCGTCCCGTCAGAGGTATCACAGATATTCCATTATTGGTATGCTAACCAGATTAATAGCGTAAGATGGGCTAACGCTTTCTCTGAGGAGTATGGGTTGCAGTGCGGGGTGAGACAGGGTGGGCTGACGTCTCCCAGGCTTTTCAACCTATACGTAAATGACCTCATTGTTGTCCTTAGCAGTATGCGTATCGGATGCTGGGTAGATGGTGTTTGTATCAACAACATAAGCTACGCTGATGATATGGTACTGCTGGCGCCAACAATGGGGGCTCTCAGAAAGATGGTGGGTGTGTGTGAAGCGTATGCTAGATGCCATGGCTTATTGTATAATGTGAAGAAGAGCGAATACATGGTATTTAAGGCCGCCAGTAAATGTCCTAGCGTGGTACCCGACCTCTTGCTGAATGGGGTCACTAAATAAACAGAGTCACTAAATTTAAATATCTCGGACACTACGTTACTGATGACCTTAAAGATCATGTTGATATCGAGAGGGAACGAAGGGCGCTGGCAGTAAGGTGTAATATGTTGGCTCGCAGGTTTGCCCGATGTAATGACCATGTCAAGATCACTCTGTTTAAAGCATACTGTCAGAGTCTATACAGTAAATTTTAACATTTCACATGTGATAGATAGATTTTAGTGCTCTAAATATCGATTTTTGAACGTCAATACCTAAATAACCGTTTGAGGTATATTTATGAAATTTGAAGCTGATGTATATCTTGCAAGTCTCAATACATGAGCCAAATTTGAAGTGTTAATGCACAGTAGTTTTTGAATGATGAGGAGTCAAAAGTGGCTCTAATTGGTTCGTCTAAATATACGCACGGTGCAGTCCCCTCCATGGAACTAGGCTTAACATGCTCCCGCATGTCTATAGTGTTTGCTGAATGTTGATTTAGTCGATTTTCTCCTGAAAGGAACATGTAAGACAACAATAAAATTTCCAATTTTACAGAGCTTCTAGAGCAGATGCCGCAAAAACTATACAAGATATAGAAAAACTTGACGGTCTCACCTGTAGCAAATTGAATAAGCTTTTTTTGGTTCATAGTAGTCATGTCACTAGGACGCATAGTTTCTGAGGATTAAGCGAAAAACCTAAAAGTGGTACCTTTAAACCCCCCTCTCCCCGCCGGCTCAAGGGCTAAGGACGGGGACTTTTGCTATGTTCATCACCTAACTAGGCTAAATAAAGTCCCGAGGTCAGAAATTGTGTTCCACGGATTTCTCTCTACACCGTCGTTAAGGCATTCATTGACTGGACTATTATATGGATGTTTGTTACTCTTTGACGCAATAACTACTGAATGGATATTAATTAAACTTTACAGAATTATTTTTTAAGACACTGGAATAACGTAAAGGCTATAATTTGTAATGATCTGTGACAAACCAAAATTCACGCGGGCGAAGTCGCGGGTAAAAGCTAGTACATTATATTTTAATGAAAACTTACGTTGTATCCATATCAAATAACAATGGTTGTGCCTTTAAATAAATAAAATAAGCTCACTCCAAAAATTGTAATCAAAGAAAAACCGCGGAATTTTATACATTCACATTGTTATTGTAGATATTAACAAGCCGTGTTATTCTCAAAAAACTGTTTTGTCAAAACTCTTGAACATCCATTCAACTGTCACTCGGTCGTAGTGAAAACCAATAATGTTTATACTCAATTCATTTGATGTTTATTTATGTGCCATAAAACTCAGCCCGCTTCGGCAACCGGATTCCCGATTCACTTAATTCCTGCAATCTTTTCTCCGGGGATCTCCCAGATCCTGGAGGCTGAGACAAGGAATATTAAAATAACACTAAAAGTACAAACGGTCGTATAAGACCGTATTTTTCCAGCGAAAACAAAGGAAATGGGAGGTTTCCACGTCCTCAGCTGTGTCTCGTACGTAAATGTGGAAACAATTTGTGAGAATTTGTATGAGAGGAGGTGCATGGAAGTGCTTGGCTGAAAAGCCGGTTGCTTTTAAAAAATGCTTTAAATTCAGTAAAAAATAAACAATCTTTATTTTGTTTCGTAAAATATTTTTATTTTTATGAATATTCTATTACATATTAAATCAAGCTCACATTTACGTTCGATATTTTTTATTCTGTTTTATTCGATATTTTTTGAAGCAGTTTTGGGGCCAACATTATTAAAATGATCATCAAACACGTTCGTAGTGATTTCGTAGTCATCATGCAAGCTCGTAGCAATCATCGTAGTCAACTCGCTACGGCATGGCTACGAAAATCTACGTAGCGTAGATCACGAACAACAGTGACTGTGCCAGTACATTACTACGTCATATGAAAAAACTCACCGAAAGAAATGCTCTCTTAACACAACTACTGCGACACCGGCTTGCGAGCCTAGTGCAGAAGTTGTGGTTTTTACATCCATAGAAAATACATAGAAAATGATATTTGTGAATAAAGATTATTTATTTATTTAACTTTACCATGAATTTACGAAATTTTTATTACCTGAAAGGTCACGCTATTATTATGTACTACATACTAAATAGCATCGTATGCTACCATAAAAGTTGATTTACAAGAAAAAACAGCAATTTAGTGTTAATAAAATCATAATAATTAATTACTCAAATATATTTTTATAAAACCTTTTCGAGGCTAATCAAGATTGCCCGATTACACGATGTTAAACGAAACGTGATAATGGGGCAAAAATGGTGCCATTTGAGTCCAGCTACATTGGCCCCTCAATAAATTCGGGAACAACCTCTGTAAATGGACGATTTTTGCCTGTTGCCTCATAATGGCTGGATTGAAACGCACATTCTGACGTCATTTGTGCAATTACAAGGAAATGAAACAGTGTGTCGGTTATCTAAGCAACATTTAAAAATAAATGGGTTAACGGAAGTGAAAAACTGCTTATTTTGCACTTTTGACATACCTAGGTACTTTAAGGCTGATTGAACCACCTAACTTTGACCGTAACTATAACGATAACCGGTGTATATTGTATGGAGTTTGACAGATTAAAATTAATTAGATTAAAGTTAAAATATGATGGTGCAACCCAGCCTCATTGTCATAAACAAAATACTGATAAAGATGACAGAGTTTCTTCTGCCACTTCCAGAACACATCCCTTATGAAATGTTTTCTGGGAGTGGTGTGAGGGCAATATTTGGGAAGTGTATAATTGCCCTGAAAGGGCCTACAAATTGATACATATGATATTTGGATAACTTAATTATTATGATAAGCTGTTTTACAGTATTTTATGACGCAGCTCAATATTTTTAAAACATTTTAAAATAAATCATACAAACCTCTACAAAACTAAAATACAATTACTTGTTTTATCCAGCCTAAGTTAAACCCTAAAGCTACTAATCTAAAGCGCTGCAGCGTAAGTGAAAACATGGTTCTTTTAAATTACTTCCAAACTTTTGCGCTACATTATTAAGTTAAAAGAGGTAATAGTTTTAGATTCTTTAGTGTGGCAACCCTATTCGGTTTGAATAAAACGAATGACTTGTCTCGTAATCCTATTCTAATTTGGAGTAAGGGGAATACTTTTATTTTTTGGGGAGCATTTGTAGTCTGTTGAATTTAGTAGTTTTAAAAACAGATTTTCTTTTCCAATCCTGGTCGTCGAAATTGAGGAAAAAAGGTTAAGGGATTGGGAGCGTAAAATGTCATTTTGGGATTAAAACCTTTATTGGGATGAGAACTTAGCAAATAGCTGAATTAGCTTTGTTCAAGCTTTTGATGGCCGCTACCAACCGGGTAACATGGAACGCATTGGGGGAGGCCTATGTTCAACAGTGGACGTCCTATGGTTCAGATAATGATGATGATGATGATGAAGCTTTTGATGGGTAAAGTTCATCGATGTAAGATATTTTGGATGCTGTAAATTATGATCAGGCCGAAGGTGGAAACGAGCTTCACCGCAATCCTCAACCACATAGAAGAAAATAAAACATTAATTTTTAGCGAAAAATTAAAAAGTAAATCTGAGTTACATCATATTAACTGTAACCGTAACTAAAATTTTGACCGGTGTTTTGTATGGAGTTTGATAGACTTTTTAACCTTGAGTTTAATTTTTATAGTAATTTCTAAATTACAAAACTTTTGCACTTCATTTTTATTACGTCACTAGCTTTCCGCCCGCGGCTTCGCCCGCGTCTTCGCCCGCGTGGAATTTTGTCTGCGCGTCCCTGTTTCAAAAACCGGGATAAAAACTATCCTATGTCCTTCCCGGGACTCAAACTATCTCTCTGCATAATTTTATCAAAATCGGTTCAGTGGTTATCGGTTCAGTGGCGTGAAAGCAAGACAGACAGAGTTACTTTCGCATTTATAATATTAGTATAGATTAGTATAGAAGTATAGATGTATAAAACGTCACATTTAACCCTTCAATGAGGCGGCGATAACTTGGCATGCCGTTTGACCGCAAGTGGCAGAGTCATTGAAATACTCCAGTAGTATTATTTACTGCGCGAGTCGTGCCAAACGGCTGCTCCGATAGTTTGAGATACTTTGTGAATCGTCGCTAGGGGCAGCGAAAGAGAGCTGTGAATGAGCGTTCTTTATTTATCGCATTAACTAATTGTAAGTACTAATGTTTAGAAGTCGTATTT